CATCAACCTTGAAGTTCATGTGCTTGTTATTGAAGCTTATCATGATCTAATTGCTCACTGAAACTTAATCTGCTCTGATACCATATTAAATCTTAAGGTTTCATCTTAAAAGGTTAATCTGATAAGGAGAGTGGTCACGTGCAAAGACGTTGGCAAGAAATCTTTGGCCACTCATTTGTCCAACACAATAAAAAAGTAGTGAAACATTAAATGTTCAGCAACGTAAGAAAATGAAGTATAACGCTATAAAAACCATGTGCAACAAGTGAAACTACATTTGCACTTTCATAATTAATTGTCCATAAATTCAACACATAAGATGTGTTTTCATTTTTTAGCATGAAACCATCACTGTTCAGTTAAAGTCTACATCTTATTTGGACAAATGGTATACTAGGGACTTGACTTCACACGAAGGTCGAAATCTTCCTCCAGTAAGAAGTGAATTCGGCCACTATTTGTGACCAAAATCACAAGTTGAGTCTATGCTTCTCGGCTAAGAATATCTCTCTTCTCAAGATTAGCGACATACTTCCAAATCTCTATGCAACCACCTAACCAGTAGACACAATGAACTCCAGCCGTAAAGCTTGGCAAGCTGAAACGCCTGACTTCTAAAGCAAGTTATCTTTGAGTTGGAACAAGTTATCCACCAAATTAATATGGTGGGTGGGTAACTCCCTTGCCACTTGATTCCTGAAAAATCCATGTGAGAGGACATGGAGTGGAACAAGTTTAACGCCAACATATCTTTGAGTTGCAGGGTCCCCATTGTTGTATTTTATCAAGGCATTCACAACATTAGTTCTTTAAACACTTGTTGCACACTTGCACCTCCAAAGTATTTCTTCCACATGCGCCACTAAGCTCGTCATGTACCTTTAACTTCACATCGTTCATTTTTAACCCTAACAACATGAACAAATCTCTCTTCCAGAAGCTTATCAGACTAGTTTTTATATTCACTTGGATTACATTCTTCTTTTTCCTTTAGTTCATAGACTTATCGTAATTGCATACAAACCTCGATTACATTTGCCCGTTTATGATTTTGATTGGAAGTATGCCTACTACACATCCGAACATCGTCAATCCTCATGTTATGTTGGCGTCATTTACTTCAATATACTCTTCACCACTTCAATTACTCCCTCCGTCCCGGATACATCTTTGCGTTTGCTTTTGGATCAGTTTTTTAGGACATCAATTAATATGAGAGCAAATATCAGTTCTACCCTTTTCCATCACCGATTTTACTTCCACCGACTACTCCCACCCTACAAATTTCTCGTTTATGTTGAACCAATAACCTACCCATCTTTATCCCACTACATCGTACTTCATCTCCGAGAGAACAAGAGTAAAGGAGGGAAGCTGCAATCGCAAATTACCAATCGGCAATTTTGGATTCCTTAAGAAAATCCAGATTTTATGACTTAAGAAAGGAATTCAACAGCCCTTATAGAGCTCGATGTTTTTGATTCCCCTGTCCAGGCCTGGAACTCCAAAGAAGGCATCCCAAACGCCTGCGACCGCGTTCTTGGCGGCAACAATACCTAACACCGGCTTCTGATCCATCTCCAGGCAGATGAAGGCTTCTGTCTCTGGACAGGGATAAACTGACACATGCGATTGTAGAATTGATCTTATGAATGGATTGAGAGGCCCATGTTAATCTAATTTTAAAGTAGAATCCTTCGATTCAAACTCTGGCTGAAGCTATGGACCTAGAAGTGGGTGCTACCGTGCTGGGATAGTGGGTGCATCAATGTTGTCCAATGAAATGTAAAACGTGGGTGGGTAGGCTAGTAAAAGGTAGTTAGGACAATTAAAGTAAAACAAGTTGCTAAAAAGGGAAACGTAAAGGAGTAAATGAGACGTCCCAAAAAAGAAAGTGTAAAGATTTAAATGGGACGGAAGGAGTATATTACAATAACAATTTATATGCATGCTTTCCAACTTGTCGAGCTCCTTCTTTCCATATCTCATTTAATGACCTATATTTCATCGAATCTATTTTGTGACCATACAAGATAACTTAAATCTCAGATAAGTAACATAAAATGTAATTTCCCTCATTTATGATGAACCTTGCATAAAATATATATTATGCATGCCTCCTTCTGTCACATTTTTTTTGCTTTTCAACCATCTAATGATCATCATAATTTCCATTTCTAGAGTAATATCCTTTCCAATTCAATCTTTTAACCCACAACCATAGCTATCTATATTGTACTTTCCTACTATGTTTACAATTATTTTTGTATTCACCCTTCTGCCATGTTAATTTCTTTATGTCCTACCTCTATATTCCTTTGTGTACGATAACCTACCTTTGCCTGGTGCCCACGATAATATCTATAATCCAATACCTTGGCATTTTCAACCAAGCTAAACAGTACTACGTACATTACATCCACACTGCTAATACTTTATCAAAGATCAGAATACCATCTCTAACATTCAATTCTCTCTCATTCATTAATGTTTTTTTAACATCTACCAATTCCTCTATTTAGTTGGGAATAAAGTACTTCTTCCCCATAAACCTAGACTCCATCATTTTAATTTATGCCATACAGTGTAACCTCTTAAAACATTGTCATTATTGTTACATTCATTCCAGGTTACTCGTTTCATTCCACCGGTCATTTCAAGTTGCTCGTTTAATACGAAAATTCATGTTCAACAGAAATTTATAGCTATGTACAGTTCGTCATTCACTCGAACAATTGGTCGGCCAGGTCTTGTCTAGAAATCTTCACCAACGATTTCATTCAACTCCTTCCTCCTCTGTCACTATACTTCACTTCCAGTTTGTCTCTGCGCTTTTGGTTTGTCTCCCAAATCAATCGAACCGCATGCGTGCTATTTTCATATTTCCTTGCTTACTACATTCCATAAACAACCGTCGTCTCCTTTTTCTGCATTAAATATTGAGGCCGTTTGGAGGATACAAAATGGGCTGATAAGCCTTTAAATGCAAAAAAATGGCCAAACACCCATTCAATGGGCTGTTTTTGCTGATTCTTATTATCAGCCAAAAAAGCAAGTATTGGGCTACTTTTTTGGCTGAAAATTATTATCTTACGGCTGATGTACTAAATGACTGCTCTGTCCCTCTTCTATACGGAGTATATCTAGTTAGGTTGCATCTTCTTCGCACTTTTCATCTTCCAGTTTGCTCTACTTCTTTAGGATGCATCGATCGAGTAGTTTTCTACCTTAGTTGCTTCATATTGCTCTATCTTCTTCATATTTCCAGAATGTCCTCTCCTAGTTGTAAGATATGAAAATGATTATCAGTGTTTCTGTTCTATATGATGATTACTGATTGTTCACAAACAGATGTTGGGAGAAAGATTCTTGGATTGTTATCTAATCTTTTGCCAAATCAACTATGCAAGCGAACTGTTATTTAGCTCTAAGAGCTATAGATAACATGGTATGATTCGAAGTGATATTCTAGGATAGAAATGAAGAGTGTATTACAAAGTGATGAAGGTGTAAGAGTTGTTTGAGAATGTTCTAAAATCTCAAATTTACAATTCCGGGTACTGATCCTACTGGACGATTATCAAATTGGTTGAATTCCTTTTTAATTAGACAATTAGCTTTTATTTATACTGTAATTATCAAGAGGTGCAAGAGAATATAAGTTTCCATTTGTTCGTATTTTTTCTTTTGACACTTATCTATTTAACATAAATAAGTCAACACCCTTTATGGTAATTCTACATTCAATAAGGCTATGTTTGGCAGACAAAAGTCTCTGCCTTCTAGTTTTTTTTATCATTTGAAAAGTCTCTAAAAGTTTCTAGTTGTATGTTTGGCGTGACAATATTTAAGAGCTTTTAAAAAAATAAAAGATCTTTTTTGAGATGCTACAAGGAGTAGCATCTGAGAAAAGTTCGTGGCTTTTAGCATTAATTAATCCAAACAGTTTGTATACCAAGGGTATGTTTGGCAAATGGTTGTTAGCTGTTGTTGTTAGCTGGTTGTGTCAGCTGTTTCCTAACAGCTGGTTGTGTTAGCTGTTTTGACCGGCTGGTTATGTTAGCTGATTATAGATAACTGTTTGGTAAAATTGGTTGTTTCGAAATGACTGATAGAGTGTAAATTGAACCAGCCGAATGAATAAGCTACCCCCCTTAGCTTCTTCAACAATCCATTTTTTCAACTTTTCAAACTCAACAAGCTAATTTTAAAAGCGATTTACCAATCATCATTATTAGCTTCTTTGACCAATCAAACAGCTGAAATGGGTCAAACAAGCTAAAAGCCGGCTGATAAGCCATTTGCCAAACATACCCCAAATAGAACTAAATCAAACAGTCGGCTTTTTAACAAACAGCTATCACATTTTCTTTTTAAAATCTTTTCAGTCACTAAGAACTAAAAGTTTCTAAAAAGCTCTCGAAAATATCTTTTCAGCTAGTTGTGCCAAACATACCCTAAGCCATTCCAGTCAGCATATTACCAAACAGTTTCACTTCCACAGATTCGGTCTTTTAAATCTTTTCATTATTTTCCGTTTGTTGTCGCCAAAAATTTCAAGCTTGTGAATAGAGTAGTGTTATTTTTGTCAAATTGTGTTGAATTTAGTCCTACTAAACTTTGCTTCCATCATCACTCCTAATATCCTAAATGTGTCATCTCCCCTGCTTTTACTCTTATATGGATAATTCACTCTACAAATAATGTTCACGACAAATCATTATTTGTTACAACCAACTAATACCGACCAATCGATCTATGGCTCTATGCCCATTGAATTCCTGAAGCCCCACACTTTTCGCCCCAATTATTCCTTCAAACCTTCTTATGCGTTCATCCTCTGCCATTTCCAATCCCTACTTTTATTTCTGTCCACATGATTCCTAAAGCAGAAGAAACAAACAAAGATATACCACAATTTGCTCGATAATAATTAAGCAGTATTAATTAATAGTAATAAATACTAATTATTATTATCATAATAATTGTCTTAGAACAGAGGAAGAATCTAGATCAGAAGGGCGATCGGCCTGACCCAAATCTGAGCAGATCATTCATTCAAAATTGAAATGGCTTCACAAAAGTTGCCCTTCAGAATTGCCGCTGCTCTCCTCCTCCTCCTCCTCGCCCACGCCGCCGATCTGGCCGCTGCGGACGGCGATTACTGCCACACCGCTACCGACAAGAAGCTCTGCGCCAGTATGGTTGCCGGAGCTAGAAGCCTCCGGGACGCGTCCGAGAGAGCCATCAAGGCCACCATCGAATACGCCACCAAAATCGAGGGCATGAGCAGCGCCATCCTCCCGACGGTGAAGGGCCTTCCGCCGGCGACGAGGAACTCGCTGGTGAAAACGTGCCGCGAGAGCTTCGAGAATGCGGTGGACGATCTGAAGCTGTCCCTCCATGCCCTGCTGTCGCACGACAAAGGGACGCTGATGACCCGCCTGAGCGCCGCCGTGGAGAGCGACTGCGCGGACGCGCTGGACGAGTTCGGCCTCAAATTTCCGTTGCAGAAGGCGATGAAACGGTACAACGCCGAGCTTGATAGCGCCTTGGCTGTTGTTACTCAGCAGTAATCGGATTTATTTATGCTAACATTGCTTATTTAGTTTAATTAATCCTGTATTTGTAATGAGCTTAATACTTCCTTGTTAATAAAAAGTGTATAATTGTTGACTATAATTGTATAACTTTAGGGGACAAAAAATGTGTACGAGAATATGTAAAATTGAATTAATTTATTGGAATGAATAATCTTGGGAATGAATTTGGAAATAAGAATTCTTATAAGTTTGTGTTATAGCTCAAATGCTTCAATTCTATCATTCTCAATTACTCAATTTTCAAGTCCATACTTTATCCATCCTTTTAAACTAAGTTTTCAATTTTTGAATTGAGATTATAGATCTAAATCACTCACATACGTCCATCGAAAAAAATTACTCAATATTTTTTATACACACACCACATAACGTTGGAGGAATGGAACAAAACCAATACTAATAAGTATTTGTCTTTGTACATTTTTGATAAGTTTTTGTTATAATTTTTTGATAAGTTTATTTTATGCAATTTTAGTTCTAATTATTATAGTATTTGTTGTACATTACGGTGTTATTTATTCTATTTTTTTTTTGCCAACTTTTTGTCTTTGTTTGTCTGTTGTTATTTTTCTACTATTTCTTCTCGAGAGATTATACAAATATACCCTTAACTATATTTAAGTGCACAAAATACCCATCAACTTTCGTTTGGAACAATTAAACACAAAAAATGAAAAGGTAAAGGGTATATATTTGTTCCAAATTCAAAAATTATGTGTTTATTTGTTCCAAAATGAAGTTAGAGGGTATATTTACTCTTACCACATAAAACTGAATGGTACATTTGCTCCTTTTCCCTTTCTTCTCTTTCTTAATACTCTTTATATTTAAAAGGATGGTGCATGGTGTACACATGTTCAGGGGCGGAGTCAGACTTGAGTGAAAGGGGGCGGAATATAGTACAAGTATAAAAATATAACATATGATATATGGACAAAAAATATTGAAAATTATGGTGCCGATGTCGAATTTTCGATCATAAAGTGTACTTTCTAGTAGAAAAGTTTCAAAATTGCATAGTTATATTAGTTACAAGACCAAAATTACAAGAGAGTAAAGTTGCATGACTATTAACGGTCATAGCCGAAAGTTACGAGATTACAAATGCAAATTTTTCTATAAAATATAAATATATTGTACCAATATGAAATGATACACTAATACTAAAATTCATATATAGTATTCAAATTATAAATTATGTGCAGGTCAATTAAAATTTAGTTGGAAAAATTGATAGTAATAATCCCAACTAGTGGCGGTCCGCTCATAATAATCCCAACTATTGATTATTACAGAATAATCCCAACTTTAGGGACCTTCCTCCAATAATGGTCCCTATGAATAAATTCTTGTAGTTTCTAAAGTGGATGAGATGAGATATAACAAGTAATTCCTATAAATAATCTCAACTTTTAATTTTTACGCTTAATTTCTATTTAAAATTCACTTTTTATAGAGGTAATATATGGTCATGGACCATTATTGGCGGATAGCCTATATAGTTGGGATTATACAAAAATAATCAATAGTTGAGATTATTTTCAGCGGACCGGCAATAGTTGGGATTATTATTTTCAATTTTTCCAATTTAGTTTTGATTTTTTCACATGATTTATATATTTGTTAATAATTAAGTATTAAATAATAAATTCCACTAGAGGTTTGGCTTTTATAATATTAATTGATAACAAAAATATTAGTATTATTTGGTATCTAGTCTTTCACAAATTTATTTGGAGGGGGCCAAAAAATATTATAGTAATAGTACCTAGGGAAAATTTTAAGAATGGGAGGGGCCTTGCACAAGTTTTGTACACATTTTGTGTAAAGTCTCTCCAAAAAGTGTGTATCAACTCCTTTTTTTCTATTTATAATTACTCGTTATCTTATTCCTACTTTTCCCCTCAACCTCTTCAACATTTTAACATTTTATGTATAACTCATTACTGGTATCATTTGCATCCTAATTAATAACTATAGCAACTACATACTAGTAATGAATAAAAAGAAAGCAGATAGTATACGAGATTATCACCCGAAATAGAACTAAAAATGTTTGAAAATTTCGAAATAGGTCTGTCATGTTTTTATTCTCAAAATATGACTAATTACTGTCATGTTTTGGCAGTACCAAAGTTCAAACATGGCAGTATTTTCCAAACTTGACAGTAATTACTCCTATTTTGGGAATAAAAATCATGTCAGTCCTATTTTGGAATTTTCTAATTGTTTTAGTTCTATTTCGGGAACTTTCCCATAATACACAAGTAATTATGAGTCATTGCTAATTGTATTTCATGTCATCACCTCACCTATACGTAAATTAAAATTTACTTGTAATATATATAGTCGAGAGTTGTCTAGCTTCTTTGGATCTATTGTCCTTGTAACCTTGTTTCATTTGGAGCGCACCATTACATTTTAAGTTTTGAGAAAACAAATTTTCTTCATATGCTTCCACTTCACTTCCAAGCTTATCAACTATTTTCAAATTAAACACAACGGCTATTATCTTTTGTTTCTACTTTCTACAATTAAAATGTCAACCAAATTGATAGAGTTTGTTTAAAGGGAAGGGCTACGTGGAGTCAGATTTGAACACTTTTAGTTCAGACGTATAATTTTGTTGTGATTTTTGAATAGGAATGTCACTCATCTTCTTTTTCAAAAGGCTAAAGGGTCAAATAGGTACATGAACTAACTTAAAGTGTTCAATTAGCCCCTTATATATGAGGTTCTGCCCGGCCGTCGGCAATTCGGGCGGTTTCCGGTGGAATTTTTTGATGAAAGTTTTTGAGCATCATATTCATTGAGTCTAGTTTACTCATATCAAATTTCAGATAAAAATTAAATCGGGGAGGCAGTCAAATGATTTTCCAAAATGTACTGCGTTGTTTAACTGCGCAGTTATCTTCAAAAAATCATTTGACTGCCTTCCCGGTTGAATTTTTAGCTGAAATTTGGTATGGATAAACTAGACTTAATGAAGAAGATGCTCAAAAAAAATTCATCAAAAACTTCCACCGGGAACAGCCCCAATTGGCGACGGCCGGGCAAAACCTTCTATACAAGGGGCTAATTGAACACTTTAAGTTAGTTCATGTACCTATTTGACCCTTTAGCGTTTTCAAAATTAGGTTCATGTAATCGGCACCAATTTAATTCCCGCTTCTATTTTGTGACGGTTTTATATGTCCGCCAGAGTCCTGCTCCTCTCCAGTACGGTACTGGACAATTCCATTTGATTCATCATAGGCATGCCACATACGCACTTATTAAATCAAAGGCTTGTATTTATCCTCTTTCGTTTCTACGATGTATTCACTTGCCCACTCCTTTTTATTGCTTTGACTTGTACACGTCGACTTCTAGGAAGTAGGAACTATGAAGTCTTAAGTTACTGATTTCTTTTTTTGCTATTCCATTTGTGATCCAACTTCCAACTAGCTTTATATAATTCATGAATTAGATTCTTGAATTGAATGTATAAAAATTGCTTAATTCAGCGAATTGGTATTTCACGAAATTAATAAAATTGTTAAATTACTTACGTATACAATAGCTTAAGCAAATCAACGAAAAAATAGTACGGATTTGAAGGAAACTAATTTCTAGCTAGGAAACAGACATAAAAGCCACAATCATCATTTTAATATCTAAATTTAAAAAAAAAACGGTTTTATGGTTTTAGTCCCTGTATATGTACTATGTAGTACATTTTGTTTTTCACCTTTGAAATTGACAACGAAACATTCTCGCCTTCTCGGCTAGTATGTTCCTTCTAATTCTTTGTCATATTACTCAAAAACTATTTAATTTTAATTTTAGAAGGTTTTTTATACATAATTTAAACATGTAAATAATTAGTTTTTCAGAATTGAACCTATTTTTAAAGATATGATTTTATACTTTTCTCTCTCTCTAAAGTTGGTTTCGGCCACTAAGGTTTTTCCTCCGCTATCGTTTGTAATGAGGAGCCGCTGCCGCAGGCGGGCTTAGATGTTCAGTGTTTCTTCTTCCGCCATAAATTGCACGGTTTTTTCTTATTTTTCTTTGGGGAGAATAAGCGGAGGAAATAGGATGTTTGGTCTCCGGCGGCCAAAGGTTGTGTAGGAACGGAAGACGGATGCTTAGTCTCCGAGGGCCAAAGATCATGGACGAAGCGTGAGACTAGATGTTAGAGCAGACCAGGGGGTCGGGATAGTCATCCGGCCCCGCTAAAAGTTCGAGAATGTAGAGCTCTGAATTACCTTCGATTTGATATATTATGTGTCATGTAACTCATTTTGAGCAAAAAGATATGACTTCTGGAATAATCAGAACTTGCAATGATCAAAATTTGATGTGTGATATGAATTATATTCTTAAATTTTTAAAAAAAATCTTATTAACTTAATAATTGTGTGAAGTTTTCAATACATGACATATATAAATACACAATACCTGAGTAAGTCTCATTAAAAAAGTATTTATTTCAGCTATATATGAAACATTCAACTCAAGTATTATTTAAAAACGGTCCTCCGTTTTGATGGTGTATATACTTAATTTTGACTCACTCACACGTTTTTTGGCTCCGCAATGCATTCCCCAGATATTCAATCCAATGAAATAAAGAAAGACGGATTTTCTAGAAATCTAGAATGTTGATATATATATACCTTCAGTTATAGTGAAAATTAATCCAAACCTTTGAATATTGAATAAGAAAGAGATTATGTTTTCAGTTATTGTAATTCTCTGCTAGTGAAGAATAGAAAAATAAACCCAAAGAATAGAGATAGTAAAAAACGGGTACGGTTACTTGTATTATTTTTTTCTGAAAATAATATGGCTTAGACGAAGAGAAGTGGTGAAGCTACCGAGCTACGGTAGCAAGTAAAAATGAATTGTCCAAGGGAAAGGTTTGATAGAAGTAATTTCCAGACCATTGATTTAATAAGTGACCATGTGGCATCTCTCTAATGAATCAACTGGAATTGTCCAGTATCGTATGGAATGGAGAGGAGCCGGATTCCGCCAATATACATAAGAGTTTCCGCACTTTAAATTTGTACTAAGATTCCATTTGTACGGATGAATATACTATACTTGCACTTGCACTTTGCACTTTGGATGTCAAGTGTACATCTAATATGAAAAATTGAACACTCAAAGTTCAAATAGGTCCCGCACTGGTTCCAATTGTTCATTTTGTAC